TAATAATTTGGATAAAGAGGACAGCCGTGTTCATGTTTTTCATATCCGATGAAAGAGCAGTGTATAACATTCTGACAGATGTGATGCAACGAATGTTTCCAGTACCTAAAGTTAGGTATTTCATCTGCTCGAGGACAAAATCTCAAATTCATTGATCCGAAATCCGTGGCCGAATTTCAGTTCACTCGATTCCATTGAACCTCGCCCGTTTAACAATTTGTATTTACAGCCTTTCTACAGCTTTTCGTATTTTTTCACTTGTATTTTCTCCAAATAATTTAGTATCGTTTAATAAAGTCGAATTATTATCGCCCACACGAAAAGAAGTTTTGCACCATCACGGTATATACACCTCTTCTAGAAACGTCATTTTAAGATGTGTTATTAAAGTTCGACTGCACAAAGAGACTGCTTTCAATCCTCAATATGTATTTATGTCTATTTGAAATTCGATTATCTTGAAGCTTTGAACGAAGAAATTTTTATAAAAATGCCCCTCGCCTGATGGTAAATACTAATCTGTAGACACTCGAGCAAACGTTCACCATATAATGTACTATCAGTACAGTAAAGACTCCATGAGAGTTTGAAATGAGTATGGTGCAAAACTCTTTGCGATATGTTCTCGTAATACTTTTACACGGGAACACGATGATTATGAGAATCATCGAATCCGCTGGTTAACGCCTGTTCGTGTGTATTGCCATGTGTTTTTCCAGCAACACAAGTCGACCTTGGAAGGGGAGCGTGTGTCACGCGGGTCACGGAAGCTGTACCTCGTCCGAGGTAATCGGTGACTCGGTGGGAGTATGGCCCATCTCCGGCCTCGCGAGGGGGAAAAGAGGGCCTTAGCTCGCGATTGCAGTAGTCGGAGTGGTCGCAGCAGGCGACCACGAACTCCACGTTGCCTGGACCGCGCAGAGTGTCATTTGTGCTGCACCAAACCGAGTAGTCAGGCGCCGGGAAGAAAAGCACCTTATCGTAACACCTGAGAACAATTCCACATCACCGTTACATCCGGTATACGTATTGAATGGTACCTGCAGAACCTGGCGAAAAAGCGTGGCTGCAAACTCTTAACGGTACCTTGTCGACGATACTTCCGATATTTTCGCTTCTCCTTATTTGTAGAATGGATGAAATAATCGGATTAGGATAACTGAAACCCTTTACTGTGAGATGAACTCCATTTTCTTTTTGCTTTTGACTACAGTTATATAGTGATTGAAATGATCGAATTAGAAAAACTCGAACTCTAATGAGGAACGAACACCATTTTTTGGTTTTTCTATTTTCTTTTGCTTTTAGACCATTTCCTTCGATTCCACTGTGGTCGAAATGATGGAATTAGGAGAACTGAAATCCTTTAGTGTAAGAAAAACGTCAATATTATTTTTTTCAATTTCGCTCGTTTTTTGCTTCTGGCCTTCTCCTTCGGTTTCATTATGGTCGAAATGATTGAATTAGCGGGAAAATTGTATTTCATCCGTTCGAATTTTTTTTTTTTGCACGAAGAATCACTTTCTGCTTGGATGTACCATCGATTGCTGGACACTACGCAGAAAGGATTAATAACTTCGTTCTGATAAAATCAAAGGAGAAATCGATTTCTTCGTCTACCCAAGTGGATCATTCCGACCACGAATTCATTCCGTGCGGTAATATATCGATAAATAAATTAAAACCTCAGTTGTTCGATTGCTCTTAGCCACTCGTTACTCTCTGGTTTTTTCTTCACTTCTGTTCAGCTACTTTTGTCCTTTTTTTTTCTTCTTCTTCTTCGCTTTATCACGGCCGTGATAAATTACGCTTATTACGAGGTCATAAATTCGCGAGAGGACACCAGCGGCGAGATACGTTCGGGTATAAGTCATTAATAACTCGCCGATCCGGCCCGTTTTTTCCGTCCTGGATGTAATTTGGCTCTTAAGGAACCGTATTATAACGGTTGTTATCGCCAAGCCTTTTCGGCGGGAGCTGTTGTTGTATTAAATTGTTTCTTTCTCCTTCGTTCTTTATTTTTTTACGTCAAACGCGACCGAAAGTTCACGGACGACTAACCCTTCGAAGGAACACAATTTTCTTAATACTTTTATCGAGTCGTGAATTTTTGAAAATGAATTATCTTAGAAATGATGAACATCATGTGAAACAATTGAATTCTACATTTTCGACTTATTTTCTTATGCGGAATCACATACTTTCAGGTTCCACAAACAGTTTGGAAACACCCTACATACAGGGTCCTGTTATTCACTGATCCCTTTACAACATCTTATGGGCCCGTAGCTATAAATACGCGCACCTAAGAGGGGTTGTAAAAGTAAATTAGGAATATATTCCGTAAATTCGTTAGATTCAGGTCGTTTTACTTTATCGTAAAAAGACCCCGCTCCGTGCTACTTTCGTATGTGATTCCATCGTCGATTAAAGTCGCGACCTAATACACGAGAAAGGTATTTAAACTACTGATATCATGATTTTGTCATCTTGCACCAACCTTCCGCCATTTGAAACAGCATCGAGGTATTACAATGATCGGTTAATACGTGTGTAATCTGTCCGATTTATGTACAAAAGGATAAGAAATGAGCGGAGGGGGCTGAAGGAGGCCGACGTAGCTCGTCTAAGAATACTTCTCTAAAGAAGAATCGAAGGAAAATATTTACAAAAGATGTCCTTTCTCGAAGGACCTGTTTACCAACGTCACTACTGCGTGTCTACTTTCGCTAGAGAGTGCAGAGAGGAGAGGAAGAGAGAGATACGGCAACATGCTACTACCCGGTATGCTTTACGAGTTCGCTCTTGGAGGACTTCCGGTCCCCGAGCGCATCTGAGGCGGGAAGAAAAGAAAACTAAATAAAGGAGGAGGGTACCTCGAAGTAACTATAACCTCCATAGGTGGCCAAATATGTTCAAAACAAAAATTCACATTTCAAACAGATCAAAACAATTATTATGATCTTTGTCTCGTTTTTTTTCACCCGTGTGCATATAACAACTTATTCGAGTTCCCCGTGTACCGATTCAACTGCAGATTTTTAACTGTGCAAATTTTGCGCGACACTCCGAGTTATGTTTAATTTTGAAGACAAAAGTGTGACACAGTTAAACAATTTCCATGGAAATCAATGATTTATCTCGCGTAATCGGCTGTGTTGCAAAAATCTGTGGATAGGAGAAGAACGGAGGATGTGGGAAATCGGCAAGTTCGCGGACGTAAAGAATTGTGAAAATGAAAAGAATGAATATTAATCTTACGTTGTCGGGACTAATACTCTCTACTAAATCACTAGAGTAATTCATTTGGTTCCATAAGTTGTAATGGCAGAGATCGAGAAATAAAACATACCTACGCGAAATCTGGCTGAAAAAGGAATTTTGTTGCACTCGACAGTGCAAGAGGTGACACATCGTCCGATTATATTATATTTCATTGGGCTCGGATTGGCCCACTGGTCGGTGAGAAAAGGAACACAGATTCAGCAGTGTACAAAATCCGACACAAAGAAACGAGACTGCTCTTACAGAAAATTTTGCTTGTTTAACACTAGAACCACCAGCGTTAAATTTACGCCGGAATAAATTGTATAATATACTGATACGTGTAAAAAAAACAGGTGAACAATTTTTGCACCTGCGAGTAGGGTTAGACGGCAACGTCGCAGTTTTCTGCTTTTCGGGAATTTAGCGGTGCGTTGTGTGCACGTCGTGTGTAACATTCCGTGAAAATATTCGTACACATATCGAAACACAGATAACAAGAGCCGAGCTGCGACAGATAGATAGATAGAGTGATAAGGGACAGCGGTGTGAGCGTGTCAGCAGATTCAGCGAGACGAGAAAGACGCGCAGAGCGTACGTTACTGGAGGCCGTGACACAATGCACAGGTGCCGCATAGTGTAGAGGCGAGTAGAGGGGTAGGAAGGAAAGATTCACAAACAAATTTCATCCAACTTGTCCGAAAATATCTGCCCATAACAGAAGATAAAGTACAGGGGTGTCTCGTAATGGCCGAACCGGAAACGTGATGATTCTACATGAACAAACTAAATTTACCATCACTGATTATTTCTACCTATATTAACATTCACAAACACTGATAATGGTACGATAATATTAGTTTTTCTGAACAATTAATTGTGACAACGGATAACGTATTGCACAGTATCTATTCGTGGTAAGTAGAAGTAGCGAGCAATGGTCAGACGTACTAGCCAGCCGTATTCGGATGACGACTAAAAATGTTGATTTGCTAGAAAACAGAGTGCCCCACAAAAAAAAAGTTCTTTCTATTTATTTTATTGTCTCGAATTGTATTTCATTGTTATATTCATTTGTTCATGCAGAATCAGTTTCCGTGTTGTGCTTCTCAATCACGAGACACCGTAACAATAATTGGCCTGGTCTGTCCCACATAAAATCAAAAGGGCCCACGAAACGAAAACCATCGAAACTGGGTAAAGAATAATTGAAATCTAGAATAAAAACCGTGTCAAAAGGAAAGCAATCGATAAAGAAAACGTGGATATTAAAAACAGACTACAGGAAATTGAATACATCCACTAGCTACATTACATTGACTAACTACGTTACTATTAACCAACAAGTCGTTCACCGACATTATAAATACAGTGCTACTTGTTTCTACTGAACAGATCGATGCCCAAGGAACGAAGGTAAGTAAAATATAATATTGATTATCAACGCCACGTGTCCACTTGAGGGCAACCGATTCTACTCGTGAACCCACGTGAGATTAACGGTTAAAGACTCGCCCCGAAGAGGACATGTAGCCTACGATTACAAGGGGATGGGGTGGAGAAAATTTAGAAAAATAAAAAGGACAGCAAGAAATAGAGACAGAGTGAGAAATATACAGATATAAAGGACAGTGATAGATGAAAATAAAAATATATAGAAGAGTGCTGCAGCAAAAGCCTGAGGGAGCCACCTGCAGAGTTTTGTCGCTACTTCCAGGTCTGGATGGAAACTGTACCTTCTTTGTTGCTTGGGTGGAGCGGAGGTTTCAGATCCCGATTGCAAAAATCCTCTTTGCAGCACTCGATGACGAACGTCGTGTTCCGCGAGTCGCTCGTCATGCAGAAGATGAGCGGCTCGGGCTGCGACGACGACAGCTGTTTATTCACGCACCTTCAAGCCGAGTTTGCAACAGTTTCAGATAAAAAGAACAAAACAAACAAACCAACCTACGGTTCGTTGGAGGGACAATTGTGCTTTGGGTCGCGAATGGGACACTCAATGGGTGGGAGATTGCTGACAGATGAAATGACAAGGACCACGTTAAGGAGAGCCCACAATTACGGGGTGGTGGATGGGAGGAACTCGCGCGCTTATCGATCTATGGTCGTCGTCGCTGAAAACAATGAAAATTCGACTTGTATAGCTTCTCTCTTTGTTTCACACCCGCAGTTCTTTTGTGTTTACGAATATCAAACAAAAATTTCACGTGCTCCGAAGTACGCGACAGGTGATCGGTATCGTCAGTTTTTAAAATCAATAATCACGGGATGTACCGAACTGGTATCGATTCCACCTTACAAACTTAATAAAAAGCATACTATATTTCCCTGTCTTCTTGTCTGAATGTGCAGACAATCATACCGCGAAATTAGTGTCACGTGACACACGTTTCACACGGTGGGACGTCAAATGGGATCGCTGAACAAACTTCAAAAAACGTTCAAGGGGGTGGAAAAAAGGGAAAGACAAAATTATCAAAATCAAGAAACGCAAACCTAAAAAAAAAAACGGTTGACTGTTAAGAACTGTAAGGAGAAAAAAAAGGAGGGGAGGGGTTGGGGTGAAATAAACAAAATCGATTCAACACCGTGCAACTCAACACACGTTTTGCGGTACCTGACAGTGGGGGTAGCCAGTGGTAGTAGATCGTCGGTCCCTGAAATCCCCCTTATTGCTCCCGATGCGACGTCATAAAGACCAAACCAATCAAAACACGAAAAAAGAAAAACAGAACTATCTTTTCGTCTCTAGTTCCTCATTTATTCGCCCTGTTAATCGATCCCGCGAGGACTAGCCAGAGAGAGAGTGCCATCCGCCTAGTCCTCGAGCACGTAGCGTCGTCCGGCTAAATTGAAGCAGGCAACAACGTATACAAACCGAACTCTTCACACCAAAAAAAGAAAATTCGAAAGAGAAAAAAAAATGTATTACGCAGAAAAAAAACAGTATAGGGAAACCAGAAAAGAACAAAAAATAAAAAACACGTGTAGAGTTAGGAGCAAACGACCATCATTTGCGGATGCAGTGCGATATTGTTGGTGTTAGTCGAGGGGTCGTTCAAACGGTGAATCCAATAGCTGGCCATACGCACCGTGGACCAGTTGTCATTAAATAGGTGCTTGGAGCTTTTTAGAAATTGCTCGAAGGATCATTTTTCTTTAATGAAGGGACAAATCTATTACTCGATTTTCGAAATCTTTATCGACATAGTTAACACTTGATCACTATTAAGGTGCCCATGGAATTATATCACTAGCGAATATGATAACTTTCTACAAAATTAGTCAGAAGTAATTTTGTCTACGTTTATGTCGGTTGTTCTTAAACATTAAAAAATAATATCTATCGTTGAAAACGTTAAGGATGTTCAGGCTTGCCAATATAATCTTCCAGACTCAGACTTCATTTTTATTTTTCCTTTCATATGCAATGTATCTTATATTTCAAGATATTTCATAATCGTCTCTTTCATTTCGATTCTTTTTAAAAGTCACCTATGATCTTTCTGTGAAAACAGCGAAACGTTACGAAAACGGTCTCTATGCGTATGGCTGACTAATGCTCGAGACACGGAATGAAATTTTCACAAAAAAGGGGGGATGAAGGGTGAAAAAAAATGGTTAAAACGATATGCAAACGCGTAGATATAGCGACTCGACGCGTGCGTCAAGGTGATCCACCAACCGAAGGTAATCCGAACTCGATCGCGGAACATCTTCGACGATCGCCTTTCTCCCTGTGTGTGCGGTTTTGATTACGAGAATTAAATAAACTCAATTATTTCTTGGTGCACTGAAATCGTGAGAAAGTCGTTCGATTTGGAAAATTGTGCTCGGTCGAGTTTTCGTAAATGGTTTAATAAAAAAAAAAAGATCGCTCTCGATGTTCGTTGCTCACTTTATTATTTTTCTCGTACGCGATTGGGCCACTTGCTTGCTCCAAAAAAAGCATTTTAGCACTCAATTCTTGGAATACTTTATCCGTTTAGAATACTTTAACGTTTCTCGTTAATAATGTTCGTTTAATAAACTCTTGTGCTTTCACAATTTTCTTCGAAACCGAACCACTTTCTCGAGTCTTCGACACCGGAAAAATAATTCAAAACGCATAAATACTGAACAGAGAATATATCTTTTGCAAAGATTAATTGAAATTAAGACGCAACAAAACATCAACAAGTTTCTTTCAAGTCTCTCATCTGAATATCAACGCTTTAACAAACTAAAATCGTATAATTAGCTACAATTAGCTATCTGTAACTGTAACATATAATTAGATTCAGAATTTTATACGTTCATTGTGTATACTCGTGCGCGCGAGAAATTAAATTTAATTGGCACGCGTGTGTACCGTACGCGTTCACAAGCTCAATTATCCTGGAAATCGAGGTTTCAGAAAATATTCCATTTTATTATAAACATACTACCGGTGCACCGATAAGTATGTCACTATGTATTTCTTTTTAATAAACCTGTGATATGTAGTTTAAATTTAAAACATCTGTCTGTTTTCGTTATCATTCAAAACAAATACGAAGCTTCGAAGAACGAAAACAAATATTATCTGAAGTGACCATAGGTTATCTGCTTTTCTAGAAAAAAAAACATATTGAATTTGACAATTAATATATAAATCTATTTAAATAACAAACCCATACAATTTCCAAGTAATTGATCGCCAAATGGTCTGTGTCCAATCGACGCGTTGCAGTGGTTAAAAATACCAAAAAAATGTTTAGTTTCAGCAAAGTATTTTAACGAAATTCCATTTAGACAAAAATTCAAATTAACGAAAATTTGAATTTCTGCCGCGTTTATTGGACCTTTTTCACCGATGTGCGTGGTGTTCGCACGCATAACAATGGCGGACAGCCTGGAGAAAAAAGGAAAGGAGGATGATGAATTAACGTCGAGAAATAACGTCCGATAATCAACAACGTTTTTATAACCCAGAAAATTCAGATTGATCCCCGACTCGCGTGCGCAAATACATTTACGCGCGGTATACACGCCACGAAGTGGATAATGATCGGCTCGTAATCGGTTAATTACTCTGCTTGGCAAAAAAAAAAAAAAGAACCTTCCTCCTTTTTTATTTTTGTACTCCTCTGGACGAACGTAGGCACTCGATGACGTGTTTCGCGAGGTAAATACGTAAGTACGCTACACCATTTACATTTTCGGTTATTTATGAAGTGACCGCCTGACTTTATACGCTCTTTTACAAGACACGATTGAGTAAAACGCAATAAAGTACGAAATCTCAATAATGTTTAATTCAGATCGTATTTCTGTCGTTACGTATCGCTGACAAAGTTATTCGTTCTCGATAAGAAAAGTTCGCGGCTCGCATTTTTCTTAATTAATTCATAGAAATCTGATCCCCTTATTCTCTTACGCGACAAACGAAGAACAAAAAAAAAACCTACCGGTTACGTAACAAAAATTCACCTATATACTGGAAGTTTTTTGTTCGATAAATATCGTGCACGCGTGATTTACGTTTATGTAAACTGTACTTCTAAAGGTTCGACACACGAATAAAAAAAAAAAAAATAACGACGAACTTTCCGGTTCGTGGATATTTTTAACTCGGTTCGATGCGCCGACGCGGAATACTCTTGTTGCATAATATACTTCTCTTGCATTGTGAACAAAATCGTCGAGTTTCCCGAAAAAAATACAGACAAGAGTTCGAGGAATAATAAGAGCAACGGAAGGTCAGTGGAGCAGGTACAAAAGGATCGTCGACATGACGGTGTGTTCGTGCTACCGCCCCCACGAATGGCTATGGGCGTTTAAAATTGCGATTTCCAGGTGATTCGATTTTTTGTCAATACCGTAAATGTTCGAGTGCAATAGTTTTATCGAACAGAAAAAGAGATATGTATAACGATTTACCGTAAAAAAAAAACAAAGTACAGAATTAAAACTCTTATGGAATAAACCTGGCGTATCGTTTATCGAGAAAATACTCTGTACCGCTTAGGCTTAATTGCGTGGTACACCCGGTATGTACGAATTCTGCTCGCAAGCCTTCCCTATCGTCCGTGCTCCACGCTGTCCGAGCAGTTAACAAACGTAAAATATGAAGCACGAGATCACGAGGCTCGAGTGTTCCAAAAGAAAGAGGGAGAGAGACAGGAAGGAAGAGAAGGCTCGGGAATATTTTCGCCCGAGTAAGTTTCAATCGGACGCAGATCCCGTACTGATGACATGCCGCCGTTTATAATAATCTTGACCGAAATACATAGTAATACTGGCGCTGAGACGAGTCTGGGACAATAATCGAGAGGAGTCTGTAACAGCGATTGGTTCAGCCTGTAAGGCTCAGGTATTGCTTGTGACGCGTACTTAACCACAATTACCTACACCTTCTGCAAATTATAGAGAAGAGTGAACGCGAAACGAGCCGAAAAAGAAAATAAAAATAACAGAAAAAGAAACCACACACACACACGAGTGGGCCACGCCATATACATACGTATAATGTATACACTCGACTATACCGCAAAGAATGCACTTAACGATCTCGTTAGGAAGTTCGTTATTGCGGCTGTTTTCACGGTTAGCTATAAAGAGCGAACGTGCACGCTGCCGCCGTTGCCGAGCGTATGCTACGACTACGAGGAATGGAAATGTTTCTGGTGTAAAATAATTTCTCTCCCGAGATGATGGGGAAAAAACGAAGATGAGGGGGGAAAGAGAGTTTATTAAATTTGCAACTTCTGACGAAGGGAAAATTGAATAAAAGCCCGCTCGCTTATGGTAAAAGTAGTCCCTGGTAAATCCGTACTCATCGAGACGGAATGTTCTGCTCGTTTTGCGGTTTCGTTCTTGGACATCCTTTATTTAACGCGTTGAATCACTTTACACTTCTTCATCGTACCACGCCAGTTTATGTATATCGAGTAAAATGGTCCAGAATCAATGGTTTGTTTAACTCAAGCGATCGAAATTTTTACTGATTGTAGAATTCCGGTTATTTAGTACCGCAATTTCATGTAGAACAAATAATTCTGCGCGAAGAACCATCAGTGTATACAAAACGAGCAGAATTTCTACCTGGGATCCAATCGAACGATTCCCCAAGCCAATTTCTGGTAACAACGAAACTTCCATTCCGAGAATCGTTCAACGCCACGGCGTTTGTAAAAAGAAAAAAAAACCAGCGATTCGTCCGCAATCTCTTTTCGGTGATCCCGATATATCCACCCAACGACGCTTAATCACGGTACAAAAAAAATATCTCTGACGACAAAACGAAGCACAGAGGACCAGGAATTAAATAGACGAGAGAACAGAAACGGTGGGACTCTGTATTAGAGAAACAACAGGTAGGAGATTGGCGGTTCACGCGATGCATCGCGCAGTCGTGTCAGTTCGGTTCGACGAAGAGTACCTGGGGATAATTCAGGCGAGTTGGGAGTCTGTAACGCCGGATACGCGTTCAGGTTGCAGAGTTCTGTATTGCAGCAGATCCTGGACCGATACGGGCCTGGCTTACCGTTGCAGAACAGGGGTGCTTCCGGTGGTAGCCAGAAACGCCGATCAAGACACCTTTCATAACATCGGAATGATTTAGTTCGGTTGGAATCGAGTGCGTCGTCGTGTACAGGGTATCCCACGCAACTGGACCAAGCCATAGCGTTAAAACGGAAGATAGAACAAAATTTTACTGGGAATATTTAAATGATATCGAGTAATACATCAAGTGATGCATCTTCTCTAAAAATGGAGAGGTTTCAAAGATATCAAGGTCACTGCCATTTTTTGAAAGGCAATTATATAATTTTTGTATACACTATTCGATGCATATTTTAATTCTCTAGAAAATAGTATTAAGACATTTGAGTCGGAAAATGTTCAAGCCTAGGACCGAGTACTGTACAATCTTGAGAAACTAAAGATAAAATATCTTTTAAACTAATCCTTTTTCCTTTTCAGTACCTTATAATACTTTGTTGTAGAAAAATAAAAAATACAGCGAATGGTGCATCGTATAATAAAACGTTTGTCTAGCACAATTTCTTCGTAAAGCTGAACGGAAGTCTAGAAATTTCATGGCGACACAAAATTACGCGGGACAGCCTGTATATTAACCCTTTCAGACCTGGTGGTCACATTTGTGTACATGAAGTTTCTTACAATGTCACACAACGCCTTAGGTAGTGTATGGAAGATTCATATTTTTCTATAAAAATTTCAATTTTTCATGTCCTGAATGTTTTTAATGAGTCTAGTGAATTCAGAATTGAATAACAAAAACGCTCTGCTGAGTTAAAACGTGTAATCAAGTTTTTTTTTTACTTTTAAAAGGAAATTCAAGTTTGAGAGGGTTAACACTGTGAATATCGTGTGATCATACGGGAAATCGGTTCCACGGGTGCTCCATTCCTGTCGAATCACCCTGTGTATCGTGCAGAGGGTTCGAAACGCGGTCGAGACGTTAACCCGAACCGTTAAACCCGATCACGATAAATTAATAAAGTCGGTGGCTGCGTGCACACGATTCGAGGGCCTGGGAAAAAACCACGATCGGAGGGCGGGCGACGACGGCAAATGAAGCCCAACAAGAGGTCAATGGGATTCGCGGTTCAACCGCGAATCACCACTTCGTGATCGCTCGAATAAGCAGGAAATTGTCCCGTGCCGCTTTTGCGTCGTCTACCGGACCAATCAAATGATCACGACCCTGCGCTATTTTCGATACGATCACCGGGGCCCGAATTATATCCGAATTAACCGTCTGGCGCATTAAACATTTAAGCCCCCGTCCGCACGTCTGCGACCTCGCGGACTACTGTCTCGATCGATCCTCATTCATGAGATTTTTCGAGCAGACATAGTAGTGTATTAGATAGGAATCCAATTTTATAAAAAAAAAAAAAAAAAAAAAAAAATTAAAGAAAAACTGGATGAACAGCTTTAATGGATTGATATCTTTTTTTCTGTTTATTGAATAAACGAAAAATCGCGAGATAGAATTTCTGAAAATTACTGTCCTTATTATCCTTTATATAACTGACACAGGCTATTAATTTAATAAGTTCATACCGATTTATGTATGTGTATTGTATTACTGGCACAGGGTAATACATAATACAGATTTTTGCATTTATATTGGATAACAAACAACGTAACTTCATTGATAATGATACAAAAAAAAGTCTCACCGACCCTTAGCACTGTCGACAATAACTGTCGCAACTACCGACAATCCAATCGATATTATCGAAGCCTTTTGTGAAACTCAACCGAAACGGAATTAATTAATACAAAAAAAAAAGAGAGAGAGAGAGAGCAAGCACAATCACCGACGAAAGATTGCGATACCAGGGTCAAATCGATAGAGAATTCCCCCATCGAATTAACACAAAAACGAAAGTTCTGTCACGAGTTTTCCTGAAATAATACATTCAATCTAGCACATCTTTCCGTCCGCTTGGAAAACAATCATTTTTCAAACATAATATTTCAACAATAACTATTCTTCCAAATCCCGTGGCTACCCCCACGAGTTCATACAGGAAAAAAAATGAAGAAATGCATCGAAAACAAATGAATAAGTAGGAATCTGCGTGAAATTAACGAAGTCGGTTCTCGAGTTTCTTGTCACAGTCGTGTTCCCGACAGTCGTCCGATTCTCTGCCCGTGAGAAATCTGGTGAATGACGCGCGGCGGTGTCGCCCGGCGTTACCAACGCGACCAACGGCCGACAACAATAATTCGTTTCCGTCGAAACTCCCCAAAACAGGCGCTAATCATGCCTCTCCGCCGGCTGGGCCAACTGGACGAGAAAAAAAAAGAGCGGCTAAACCGTTCCTGGAAACCACCGACGAGGGAATCGATCGGTAACAGAACGGTTGGTGACTGGTTGAACACTTCCTTTCGCGATGAACACGCACGCGCGCGAGCGATCGAAGCGGCAAGAATTTAAACTTATAAATTCACACTGACGAGTAACTATGTTCTTCTTCGGTCCTCTTCGAGTAAACATTTTCGCGTAACCTGGCTCGAAATCATCGGATCCGTCTGCTGGATATGATAAAACGTTATCGAAATTATGTAAGAACGATAATTGTAATCTGTCGAATTTTTTTTTATTCGGCGTGTCTGACGGGAACGAGATAACGTGAAAACTTCGCGAATCGCTAGTTTCATTACTCCAACCGTGCGGTCATTAATTCCGAACAGGGTCGATCGATTAACGAGAAAATTGAACGACAGCAGAGTATGATATCTTCGCCGTATATGTGCTTGGAACTAGAATACATACAATCGTTCCGTTCTCTGTAACGATAATACACGATCTGTCTCAAAAGTTGCCAAACTGATACAAAAAAAAAAAAAGAAGAGCAGTTTTCCGTAAAATGATGATGCTCTTTATCGTCGAATATTAAAAATAGTTTTCTTTCGAAAGACACACTATTCACAATAAATTATGAAAACTCTGGAAATGACTCGGATAATTCTGTTCAAGATGATGAAAAAGACGACCATCGAAAATTTTCGAGTTCACGGAACACATTTCTGTCTGAAAAAAGTATCTCACAGTTCGATTATCCTATGTATACGTCTAATTCGGCTACGTCAAACTAATTCCTATTATCGAAACTATAAACTAGGTCAAAGAAACAGCAATCTAAAATCGTTTAAACATTAGCCAGAACTTCGACGGACTACTTTCTCCACCATCTTGAAGAAGAATTACCAGACAGCTATTTCCAGTGTTTGTATAATGATTGTAAACAACGCATCACTTCAGAAAGAAACTACGTTCAACGAATCGCTGAATATATCGTACTAAAAAATTACCGTTTCAACTTAAATTCCGAAATTTTTGGACGCAAACCGTGTACTTCCACGACAAATAATACGATCTCATATTAACCCTTCGCACTCGATTGTCGCCTCTGGAGCGACAAAATGTATGGAAAATTAGAAATTCCGAGTGCAAAAGGTTAAAGAGATAAACTTTTTCTCAGCTTCACGTGTATCGAGAGATCCGTATACTCGTTGTTCCCTCTGTAACGGGCCTCGAAACGTTATCCATGAATCGTAGTCGCAGAATTTATTACACGATATTTCAATCGCACGAAGTTCGATCGTTAATCGGGCCACGCCTGAACGAACATATAAATCGCGCACACCAAACGAGATTCCGCTTACGTAATTAAAAGCTTTACAAATTTGTACGATGGGAATGGGATGTCAGGGAGTCGGGTGGTTTGTGGTCGGATAGTGAGCAGAGTGACTTAATAGACGATCGATCAAATACGTTCAAAGTGTACCCACGCGCCTATATGTATATATGTACTGTAATACACGACCAAAATCGACGGTGAAGAGAACTTTTTGTCAGTGAAATTATTATTGTATATGTATACTCTCTCACGCAGCGCACCACGCCATGCACGTGTGTATACGTTACCTCCGTGCGTATGTGGGAACATCGTTCTCCAGGCTGGTGCTGGCGAAACAATATCCGTCGGTCTTGCACGTGTGATTGGTCTCCGTGCAGATGTCGCAATAACACTTCAACAGTCCTGAAAGAAAGAAAAACGAAAAAAAAATAAGAAAGTTTGAGCGAAACCTCGTGAACATCAACACTGCGGGGGCGTTTAGGGTAACCTAACCCAGACCAGAGACAAACGTAACGATTTTATGGAATTGAAACAAGAAGGTACGTAATTTAAAGAGATAGAACAAACTTACTTCTTAGTAGATTATTTCAATAGGACAGTCGAGAACTAGGGTGAAGGGCAGATGGAATTGGTGAATAAAGATGGTAGGAGACGATTGTTGGTCGCAACAAGATAAATATTTAAAGGTTTTGAAAAACTCAACACCCCCTACTGAGTTATTAGTGAAGCCAGGACATACACCATTTACACACAAGACATTATATATGTAGAATGAAGTTACGGCTATCTTCCTGTGATGTTAACTAAAAATCATCAAAAATTGTAGACCATATCGACAAGTATTTCAGATAAAAATAGGTTTCGTAAATTGGAGGTTTTATAGAGAAAATACAGATATCAGTTTCCTTATCGTTTATGGAACAATACTTTTTCTCTAGATAATGATTTACGAATAATGAACAGAGGTCGAAAACGTTTCTCTGCATTCCGTTATTGAGTCGATATAAAGATTTAACTTGCAGGAAGGTTTTCAAGCTTTCCGAAACTTTTTTTTTGGATCTCCGTCGGTGATCATCGTTTTGTTTTTTCATTCAAACAAGATCTTGCCCCGCCTCGGCCGCAAATAATTATTCCCCTTGACAGGCTCCAAGGTTAAAAAAAAAATATAGCCCCGGGGGCTTGTGTGCACCACGATTTACCGAGAATAATGATGCAGCAGCATTATTTCCTCAATAATTTATCACGTTAATAATGACGTAAGTCATTCCGAAGTTAGCACACTTTTTTTTTCTTACTCTGACCCTGGTCGACTGAACCAAACCAGATTCACAGTCGCCGAGACTGAGACACCATTCTCCAGAGATCAAAAAAAGAAATAAAAAATGAAAAACGTATTAGGTCGTACGGAAAATTCGTACCATTTTATGTCCACGATCCTATTTATCTATCTTTTGATTATTTTATTTTTTTTATTATTATTATCGAAGAAATGGAAAACTGACACGGTGAACACACACTGCCTTCAAAACACATTTCACATGTATGCTCTATTCAAGTTATGTATACAACTTTCCTTTTTCTATATACAAATGAACAGGTATGATCGAGTGTACAAAGTGCATTTCAGTCACGCTACATCAGAAGTGTAGGTAAAAGCACAGTTACTTCGATTGGGAAATTTAGTAGATAATCATTAAGTTAGCTTGCTGATGCATTTCATATCTGGAAAAATCTCTGAAGCTGTAGAAGTCGATCGAAAAAACATGTAAAGTGTTTCTCAAACACAAGCACGCGAAGTTTATGTAACCGGTATGATAAAACAATCTAAAAATAAGAAACAGTAAAAAGAGACAGAAACTACATTTGCTCGTACAGTAGGATAGATGTTGCAAATTATAGATTGCTATTTTGCATTCTAAAATTGTACGTACTTTCCGGACAACCTAATTATATATTTCAAATATCATTTCAGAACTGCCCAGATCTGGTTTATGAAATATTTCATGTTCCGTGTCGAGAAGCTTTCGAACACTCATCGCGCATTTACTGTACAGGTGTGTTTCTCTTATATCGATACAAGTGTATATGGTTATGAAAATCGACACGAGTTTCTGGTACGACCTAATACTTCTCATCCGTTGCCGGACCCGCCAGGATACACGATTCCATGCCGTGGTACGACTTGGCGAAACGAGTTTAATTCAAGTCATTAGCGCACGCCCACATCGGATATGCTCATCTTTCTCTCTCTCTCGAGGACCGTACACACATACACAGGCCACTTCGCAAACGCGAACGAGCTGGAAGGGCTCGGAAACCCAGGGATATACCTGCGTAGTATACAGGGTGTTCATAAAAATGTGGAACACTTTCTCATTAAGACACAACTAAAACGAAGACAAAAATCAAGAATGACAGATTGAACAGCTTCGTGTTTCGAGTTATTAATTGTTGAAAATACGGGCGAAATCCAGACTCGATCGATGATGCAGTGAAATACTAAAGACGAATTCAGACTTTACATTTTGCATGTGCAGCAACACGAATGGTCAGACGTATTCCAAGCGTATTTCGCCCCTAAATTTTAACAAATTAATAAGTCGTTCTTGGTTTTCCTCTTTGTTCGAACGTGTAGAATCCACACTGCGAAAGTATCCCATATTTTTATCAACACCCCGTATAAGAGGACCACGCATACCGAACGGCCATAAAACCGTTTTTTGCACAACCACGAAAAGCGCAATGGGGTCCCTACCTGTGCTCAGGTTCGACTGGAACGAGAGCTGGTCTTTTGATTCGTATTTGTGAATCTCATAAGGAGGTGGATTGTAAGATTTATGTTACGTTGATTTATATGATATTTAAAAAGATAAAAGAATATAGACACCCATAATGATAGCGTAGCTATAGTGAAGATCGTGCGGATAGAGGTATGGATTTTTCAATATGGAAATTCTGTTTTGGCGTTGTAAATGTTACGCGGAATTGGAATCAAAAGAGATTTAGGGTGTCTCGTGGGTCTTTGGGGTCCAAAAGATGTGGGGTGTCCCGTTGGTCTCTGGGGTTCAAGAGATTTGGGGTGTCCCGTGGGTCTTGGGTCCAAAGGATTTGGGGAATCCCAAGATTTAAAGATTCTAACAGGTCTCAAAAGTCTCAGGGCGTTCTCTATTAAGCCCCTTGAGTCTGCAATAGACTGTGTCTGTTAGCTTGGGTCTAATATGATCCGCACGTGGTATCTTGAAGTTTTAGGTGGTTTGTATCGAGTTTCTGGGGTCTACGGGTGGGCTTTATAGGTCCTTTTATGTTCGAGGTAGTTTCTATCGGGTCTCTCGAGTTTACGATGAACCATAGCCGTTCTCTTGGGTCCACGATGACCTGTATCGGGTCTCTTCAATTTGGGGTAGTTCCTATCGGGCATTTTTAGTCTAAAATGGTCTATATGGAATCTATTGAGTTCGGGATCATTTTTATCCGGTCTCTTATGTCAGGAATGGTTTGCATCGGATCTGTAGAGTCTTGAAATGCATGTAGTGGATATGTTGAGTCCCAGATGGATAGCATCGACTTTCTTAACTCTACAATTATACTCTATTAATCTGTACTAAATGAAGAAACGTAGAAGGACAATATTTTCTACACTTTGAATGAAATACTTCTACATACGAAGCAACAGATGGAGAAAAATCTGTTGCTATATCGAACGTATTAAAATAGATTCCTTAAAAAGCAACAGTGATCCAGATCGTACAATAAAAATTCTGCAAACACACCGTTGGTTTCACTCGACGATCAATAGGACCAACTACGATCAACGTTAAAATAACGAAACACCTACACAATAAATTCTATCATTCTTACGGACACACGAACACCTCCGAAGGATTAAGGGTGACATCGTTTTACGCTATTGTTCGACTGCGAGGGACAGATTACAGATAAAAGTTACGCCGGAGTTACGGTAAACTTCGGCCGCGGAACAGCATTTGCGGAGCGACCGCGATACCAAAGCGCTCAGAAACGAGCAACTATAATCGAGTTGAACGACGGAACGGCTAACAAAACGCTAACGAGATGAGAGTTCGCTCGTGCTTGTGCGCCCGATATCAAGCGACCGACGAACGTTTCCGTTTAAACGCGTTCAACGTTTATTCCATTTAATTTCCAACCGAATGGGAAAGTAAATCCACCATAATGTATACGGATAGCAATGTGTGTATGGAAATACACGAAATCTATAACTGCAAAATAGAACAAAACTGGACAACGAACGGTTTGCTTAATTATGAAAGTAACGAAGTAATAAACTGATATATTATATTAATGACGAGCAGGAAGATTCAAAATCAGGCCATCCGTACTCGCTGCTCAGATCGTAGACGCTAAATACAAATCGCGCGACGGTTACCACGGCCAATCACGGATCTCCGCCACAGAATAAATTACACGGCGGACACGGTGCACGTTTCAGCGTCATTGCTCCACGCCGACAATTCCACGAAAGATAATCTCCGGATGGTGGTTGATAGAGGATATCGTCAAGGATCGACGATCTCTGATCGTACGCCTACGTTAATGGGCGACACGGATTAATTTTACAGGCTGGGTGCTCTGTAATCGTGACGGGAGTCGAACCGAAAAGAATATGTAAAATTCATTTTTCTTTCCAGACATATCCATCTGTCATCTGTTATCGAATGTATAGCTATCATTAACGAATGTATTGTATTTAGATCTTAATTTATCGACCCACGTTTACTGGGACTTTTTTTCGTCATTTGGCAAGTACTATCTACCCCAGAAGTTATGAACCCTTTCTTTGTTTTACCTTGTACATACATAAATCACTGCGCAAAGAGTACCAGGAATTTTTTTACCGATTGATTTCCGAGAACGAAACGAGGTTTGTACTAGAGATTCATGGGAAGTACTTTGAGAAATGTAGCACGATCAACGAAAACATTTTTTTCATCATTTCTTTCAGCAATCGTAGAAAGCTTATATATTTTTCCGGGGAAAAGTATCAACGTTCAATTCGTGCAGAAAGAAAATACGAAGTGACGGTCGAAAGACAGTTTTCTCGCTAATCTCACAAGGATACGAAGAACTGATAAAACGAGTTAGTTTAATTAAAAACACGAAGATACCTGAACCACGCGAAAGAGGGACCACCACTTTTCGTCGGAATCTATTTTGAGCAGGCAATCCCACCGCGCCAACGGTTAAAACCAGAAACGAGATGGTAATCGTTGGTAACTGTAAACAACGGGCTTGATTTAGAGGCTCGCATGATATTAAAAATAATCAAGGCAGCCTTATCTTTTCACGAAACCAGCTAAAGGTCCGAGACCGTGCTGGAAGTTTAATATCGCCGTAACCATTAGACTGCGAATTTCTATCCGCTT